GTTTATTAGATAAAGGAAAGCAGATTCTATGGTATACAGATTTCAAAAATCTTTAACATTGCAGAGAAAAGTGTAATGAGTCAAACAAAGTGTTTTTATTCTTTTTTGGAATTGGAATAATTGTTGATGAAATTCATTGATTGGGAACATAACTAGATCAAACCTAAAAATAGTTTGGAAAGTATAATAGCAAATATAATGTGCAGATTTATAAAATGTAGCTGAAATATGATACGGACTGAAAGTAGATGTATTAAATAATTTAATAGTATACTAGACTTCAAAGAATGAGAATGGAAAAAAATGTGTAGTGAAGTAAAAGTAAGTAGTTTGTAAATGGCTTCTGAAATAATATTATCAAGTTTTTTATTTAAGATTAAGATAATCAAGTACCGTATATGATAAGCATATGATATCATGAAAACATAAAAGTCTTATTAATAGTATTCCTAGACAACTTGGATCAGAGGCAAAAAAATAAACTATTCTATTAAAATAATTTAAAAACGAAAAAAAAAAAAAAAAACGAACATTCCTTATGATATTTTTTTTGCATAACTCAATGTACCGTGTTTCCCCGAAAATAAGACATCCTCTGAAAATAAGACCTAGCATAGGTTTTGCTGAATTGCTAAATATAAGGCCTCCCCCAAAAGTAAGACCTAGCAAAGTTTTTTTTTTTTTACTCGTAATGGTCATCAACAGATGGTTGAAAGTGGCCGTTGGCTTTTTGAAAGTACAGCCACTGATTGATCAGCAGACATTCACGCCACACGGCATGATTTGCATAAAACTATGGCTTGGGTATCACAGATTTGCATAGCATTGCAACTGGTGATGGCTAATTGGTTGGCCGGGAATCACGCCACATCACATTTGCATAGTGCTACGGTTCAATAATCACTAATTGGTCATCGAGCCCGATGTCGACGCTATAAAAAGGTTAAGTTGAAGCGAGAGTGGGAAGTCTACTCCAGCACGGAAACTTCATAAGTTCACTTCAGTTTTATTCGAGTTCAGTTCGACACGACCAGATATACGTCACTCTCGTCTAAGTTCGACTTGGGAATTTTTTTTGTTCAATAATAAATGTGAATTCTTCTTCATGGAAAAAATAACACATTTCCCTGAAAATAAGACCTAGCGCATCTTTCAGAGCAAAAATTAATATAAGACACTATCTTATTTTCGGGGAAACACTGTAGGTATAAGTCGCTTGAATTGCCAGATTTTTTCCACTTGCACTATTATTTTCTAAGATTGTTATGTAGTTTTTACAATGAGCAGAAGACAATTTGTATATAGAAACATTAATTTTTCATAATTGTAAATACTTTTCAATGATTGAACTTAAAATATTATAGGTGAGATTTGTAATAGCAAAGTGGTAAACGAGAAGATTCTAAAAATGACCAATCAATAGAGCATAAATATCTAGAAGCAATTTTTTTGATTAAATCGTGACCAAATAGGAACTTTAATGAAATGTTTAATTTTACGAGTTTCAGAAAAAAAATTAAAACATCTAAACAAATATTTAGTTGAGTGATCAGAGGAGAAACTGTTGATAAAGGAGGCAGCTATAAAGCATCTATTTTAAAAAATTTGCTTTTATATATATATTTTAGTCTTTTCACCATAATGCGTAATCATGAAGTTCATAAGACATAGGGAATTTGTTACTGTTGCTAGAAAAAGATAACTGTTATATTTACATTTAAAAAAGTCATATGAAGCAGAAGACTTTTTTGCTCCAACATGCAAGGCAACATCCCATAATTTTCAATCTTATAAAAATCTAAATATCTAAATGTAAAATGAAAGTGAATAAAATATAAAGTGAATAGTGAATAAATGCATTATATAACACCTTATATAATGCATTTTCAACTGGCTAAAGTATAAATTTCATTATTTCAGCACAACAATGAGGCAAGTACAGTTTTAAATATTTTCTTTTTAGGATAAATAACTAAAAACTTTGCAAACAAAATATTTTATTACCTATACATCTTTGAAACAGCATAAGGTCGAAATCTATTAAATAAGTTATTCAAAGTATGAAATATATTGTGTCTCATGAAAAACCTTACAATATATATATATATATATATATACACACACACTTGATTTGTTGTTGCACCAAGCCCTTCATTTTTCATAATTATATAGTACTGTATATTCAAAAATTATTATATGTAAATTACAAATTTTTAAAATTTCTAGCAATTTCACTAATACTTACATTATCCTCGGGAGCACTAAGTGTAGACCATATATCAGTAATACAATCTTTTACAGTTCCACAAAGTTTGGCTGATTGTAGATCCTGACAAGCAAACGTAGGATCGATACATGCAGTTGGAGGCTTTTGAGCCAAAGCAAACGATGTCACTGAAAATACAAGTATTTATTCTATTAATAAAACAAAACAATCTATTGTTTTAGATATAATTAAATGATATTTGTTGTTATAAGGTAAAAAAACAATGTTACAAAAGTAATAATGATAGACTATGTAGCAAATACCCATAACATTTAATTCCACATTACACTGATCACCTCCCTTCTCCAAATAAAAAATAGGGTGTAGTGTTGACTCGGTAGGGTATGAGTTAAAGTTTAAAATATTAGAATTAAATAACTTTAATTATCTGATTGTTTTCAGATGATTAAAATAACTTAAATAATACATTACTCTTATGTTATTGTTATAACTGACTTTTTAATCAATTCTGCTGACATTATAATACTAAGTTTTCATTCTTAATATTGTTTGTAAAGTATGAATAACCAACCTAGTCACTAGCATTCAAAAAGGTCACTGTATCTTGAATGTACTAGATTGGGAGAAATCATTTGGAGTTAATAACTCTCTGTTGATCACCACCTGGTCGTGGTGGAAGAGTCCAGTAATTTTACTAAACCATAGAGCAATGCAGGCTGGAGCACAAGCTCCTGGTAGAAACACCCATGTCAGTAAGGTCTATGAGGAGAAATGAAGCTAAGAGTGACCACATCCACATTCTGTGGAAATATTTATCATTATAGTAAGCAGATCAAAGTGTGATACCGGCTCAGACGTCGCCCGGGTTAACAAGGTCCGCGTTCGTGAGTTAGGCAGAGGCTCATGTTCAAAAAATAAGCCACAGTCTCCCTTGGTTACCAGTGATGAAAGCAGTGCCAGCCCAAGCATGGTTACTGCAATGCCCTCAACAGATGTGAGGAATCAACCTAGCCTCGGTGTTTCTGTGGCAATGCATCCACAGACCACAAAGGCTGGAAAACCATGCCAACGGATGAAATGGACAACAGAAATAAACGAGTATCATCTGTACTTACTACGCAATCACAAGACTCGAAACAAACATGACAGCATACAGACAACAAATACACTATAGATTCACACAACAATATCCTCAACTCACTGTCACCGAACAAAGGGTTGTTGATCAAAAAAGAACAATTCTACACAACAACCTTATCCCACAAACAACACTTGAACTTATCAAACAACAGGTTGCTGATCAAATACATCAACAGACAGAAACATTTAACATTATTAATATAGGTCATTTAACAGTGTATGCAGAATACATTGATACAATAACACAGAAACTCACATCCAAAGTACAAACTCAAACGATACAAAACATACACACTATGAAAACAAAAAAAACAAATTATTCACAAACAATGAAAAACTTTTCTACAGACAAACACTGATACACAGCACAGTGGCACACCAACAGAAGAAGAACTCGACTTACTGGTCTTTTCTTTCCGGCCGATGCTGCTTTTGCCACCAGTAACCAAAAGAGACTGTGCCCTATTTTTCGAACGTTAGCCTCTGCCTAACCCACGAACGCGAACTTTGTTAACCCGGGAGCAGTCCGAGCCGGTATCACACTTTGATCTGGTTACTACCATATTAATTATTTCCACAGAATGTGGGTGTGGTCACTCAGCTTCATTTCTCCCCATAGACCTTACTGGCATGGGTGTCCCTACCAGGAGCTTGTGCTCCAGCCTGCATTGCTCTATGGTTCAGTAAAATTACTGGGCTCTCCCACCACAACTAGATGGTGAACACGGGAGAGTATTACAGTAGAACCTCGAAAACTCGGCCTAATGTGGACCGAAGGGTGGCCGAGTTTGTGAAAATGCCGGGTTATCGGGAATGGGGTTAAAAAAGGATAAGTATGCGTGTTTCCTCAGAAAATACTGTACTGTACTTGTATGTATTGTTTGCTTGAGAATACAACAGAGAATAAACTGCCCAAATACCCTTAAACAAAGGAAAAGTACGTCCTTTATGAAGGCATAGAGCCTTTACTACATGAAAATGAAAATTAATGAATACACTGTGTACAGTAATTTACCTGATAAGACAGACCTCAGAAAAATACTTTATGAGAGCTTTTATACTTTTATAAAGCTGTCTATAATGAAAATTAATTAACTAAGGATTTTTTTGCCCTGCCAGGGTGTGGCCGAGTTATCCGGAGTGCCGGGTTATCGAGAGCCGAGTTTTCGAGGTTCTACTGTATTATTATGTTGGGTTTTGTGAGTTATACTAGGTTCACACCAGTGGCTGTGTACTATGCCAGACCAGAGTCAAGGCATAGCAACCAAAACAAAACTAAAATTAAATAAGTGTGTCAGTGTGTGTGTCTGTATNTCTACAGACCACAAAGGCTGGAAAACCACGCCAACGGATGAAATGGACAACAGAAATGAACGAGTTTATCATCTGCACTTACTACACCATCACAAGATTGTTTTGGTTGCTATGCCTTGACTCTGGTCCAGCATAGTACACAGCCACCGGTATATACCAAGTATAACCCACTAAACCCAACACATAATAATAATAATAATAGGTTACTATGCCTTGACTCTGGTCTGGCATAGTACACAGCCACCGGTGTGAACCGAGTATAACTCACAAAACCCGACATAATAATAATAATAATAATAAAACTAAAAAATGTACATACTGGAACATAGGCCAAGTGTGCTGCATATGGCTGATGGTTTAACTTCTTGAATAATGAGAGAAACTATAGTGTCAGTATATTTATCCACAAAACTCTGACATTGTGACCACATAGAAGCTGGCAATATAGTACAGGCTTTATCCAGAGCTTCTCTAATTTCTTGCTGCAAAAATTAAAAACAATTACAATAGTACCAAAACAGAATTTATTTTTATCCCATTGAATTAATAATAATTTGTATTTTATCACGAGATAACAAGCTGTAATAATTCTTTAATTTAAAGATATGAAAATTGTAATTCTAACAAATAAAAGTTCATAGACATCTACAACAAATCGGAAAAGTTTCAAAGCTAGGAAAATGAGTACCACATGAACTGTCAATAGCTAATCGACAACATGTAAACATTTGCACATCTCTTTTATCCCGCATTACTTTGGAACTTTTCTTGATCGGCTGGTTACTGGAGACAAAAAATGGCTCCTCTATGTGACGAAAAAAAGATGTGAAAACGACAAGAAAAAGAGAAAAATGGCAATAATGTGACGAGAAAAAGACAATGGACAGACCACGACAAGCAGCCAAAGCCGCTGCAAAAGGTGGGTTGCATCCAAAAAAAATTCTTTTGTCTGTTTGGTGGGATATGTCAAATGTAATTCACTTTGAGCTGTTAGAAACTAATCAAACAATTACAGCTCAAATGTATTGTGATCAATTAGAGCATTTAAATGAAAAAAAATCGACTGTCATTAGTGAACAGAAAGCAGGTTCTCTTGCAACATGACAANTGAGAGTAAGTTTAATGGTGTGTTATTTGAGTCTGCTAGAGTTACTGCTTTATGTAATTGTGATGTTTCTTGTTTCCTGTAGAAAAACTCTTGCACTGACTATTTGTTTGTAGTGAAGGTTAACTATGTCAATCAGGCCACGTCCGCCATATTTACGTGGAAGGTTAATCTTTCTGAGACAGATTTAGGATGATGTTGTTCATGCTTAGTAAGTGTTGTTCTTGTTTTCCTTTGGAGTTGCTCGAGATCTGTGTGAGTCCAATGTATAACTCAAAAAGAGTATGTGAGTACTGGGATGACATATGTGTTTATTGCTTTAACTGTGTGTTTTGCATTTAACTGTGTTCTAAGTATAGCGTTTAACCTACTTTGGTATTCTTTAATTAATCGTTGCTTTATTTGTGTATGTTCTGTTAGTTTGGCCTGTTGGAATCCTAAGTACTTGTAGAACTCGCCCTCTTCCATGGATTCAATAACGTCTCCATTTCCAAGTGCAAAATCTTCTTTCTTCAGGATTCCTTTTTCTATGTGAAGTTTTTTGCATTTGTCTAGGCCAAACTCCATTTGTATGTCCTTAGTGTATGAATGTGTGATTTGTAGGAGTTGATGAAGTTGTTTTTGTGTGGATGCATAAAGTTTTATGTCGTCCATGTACATGAGATGTGAGAGTGTAAACTGTGTTGTTTTTTCGTGTCTGATATTGTAGCCGTATTGCGTGTTGTTTAACATGTTGGATAATGGATTCAGGGCTAGGCAGAACCAGAGAGGACTCAAGGAATCTCCTTGAAAAATTCCTCGCCTAATGAATATTTCGTTTGTTTGTATGGAAGTGTTACTAACCCTGAGATGTAGTGTTGTTCTCCAGTGCTGCATAGTGTTTTCGAAGAATGCAATGAGTGATGGATGTATTTTGTACATGTGTAGAATATGTAGCAGCCAACTGTGTGGAACACTGTCGAATGCTTTTCTGTAGTCTATATATGCCATGTGTATGTTTCTGTGTTGTTTGTGTGCTTGCCGTAGAATGACCGAATCTATGAATAACTGTTCTTTGCATCTTATTATTATTATTATTATTTATTGTAAAACAAATATTCACAAATTACATTGGAATAAAGAATACCTCGTCCCGTAACCCACGGGAAAGAAGGTACCTATTTCCCCCCTTTACTGTATTAATTGCTCTTTACTTTCAATTAGTTCTCTTCTTCTCCCTTTTCCACTTCTCAACAAGTTTCCAAAAGAGCTTTGTGTACTAGTCTCAAAAAATTGTATTAGGTAAATCCTGATTAACTAATGAATGATGTATATCTGATGATTGCTGCTGATTTGAAGATTGCTGTATGCCTTGAGATTGATGTATATCCTGCTTTTGCTGATCTGCTGTATTGGCCTCAAAGATAGCATCTCCAAGCACTCTATTGAGTATAAGTGATGTGTGTATAGCTGCCTGTTTCTGAAGGATACTAATATCAATGTTGGATTCTAATTGATCTATGTATTTCTTTATGTTTTTTGCTACTATTCCTGTTGCTCCTATTACTATTGGAACAACAGTCGTCTGTGTATTCCACAGGCGGTTAACTTCCAATTTCAGAAAATGATATTTACTCAATTTTTCAATTTCTTTAGCACCAATGTTATAATCTGATGGTACAGTTATATCTATTAAAAATGTTTTATTACGATTTTTATCAACATAAATTAAATCTGGTCTGTTGTGAGATACAGTGACATCAGTTTGGACAGGCATTTCCCATAGTATTTTGGCTGAACTATTTTCCTTAACTTGTGGTTGGAGTAGAATTTCCTTCCACCATTGGTCAGCAACTTCTATTTTATGTTTTCGGGCCAGGCACCAGTAGACGTACTGGACAAGGTTATTATGACGTCTTACATAACTAGTCCCCGCCAGTTTTTCACATCCTGATATAATATGTTGCGTGGTCTCGTCTTTAGTCGCACATAGTCGACATTTCCCATCCACTGGTTCCTTTAAGATGTCACGTTGATATTGTCGTGTCATAACAGCCTGGTCCTGTATAGCAAATATTAATGATTCAATACTTGGGGCTATTTGTTGCTTTTTAATCCATTCAAATGCAAGCTCTCTATCTATATTACTCTGATCTAACACCTTTTTAGGAAATTGACCGTGTAATTGTTTATTTCTCCAGACAACATTATGCCGTTTTACTATTGATTTTTTAATATCTTCATCTGTATGTATTTTTCCTCGTGGTAAATATAATTCACCTTCTATCTCTTGCGCTTCTTTTATTATTGAATATTTATCCCTACCTTTATCATGCTTTACTATTACTTTGATCAAATGATCTCTCTCCTCTTTTAAGTATTGTTTATATTTAATTATTTGTGCTTTATACATGTACTCTATATTTAATAGTCCTCTTCCTCCATGATTTACTGGTAAATACAATCTTTCTATTTCTGCTTTTTGCCGATGTACCTTTTTAATTGCTAGTAACTTTCGTGTTTTGACATCTATTTTCCTTAGGTCACTATTTTTATAGTTGATTATACCAAATGAGTAAAGCAAGACCGGGATGGCATATGTATTTATACCTTTTATTAAATAACGTGAATTAAGGTGTGTATTTAAAAGTTTTTTGACCCTTCTAAAATATTCTTTTGTTATCTGTTCTCTAATGATGCTATGCTCTAGTTTTCCTGATTCTTGTACACCCAAGTATTTATATCTATCTCCAATTGCAAGTTGCTTGAAACTCTCTCCACTCAGTAGTATATGTCCTTCACCCATAGCACTACTCCTGTGTCCTGCAGTTATATGTAGTACTTTGCATTTATTCAATCCAAACCTCATCCCTATATCACTTGTAAAAATCTCAACGCTATCCAGTAATACTTTTAGATTATTTCTACTATGTGCATAAACCTTAAGGTCATCCATATATAAGAGATGATTAATCCAGATACTATCCTTCAATTTGTAGCCTTTCCTTTCATACTTATTTAGTATGAATGAAAGTGGGTTTATAGCCAGGCAGAACAACAATGGGGAAAGAGAATCACCTTGAAAAATTCCACGTCTTATGTAAATCGGTTGAGTAGTGATTAAATCCTGGGAGCCACGAGCAGTCATGATCACTTTCCATGTAGGCATAGTCATTTGGAGGAATCTTTTAACCATAGATGGACATTTATAGATATCTAGAATTTTAAGAAGCCATTCATGTGATACACTATCGTAGGCTTTTTGATAGTCTATCCACGCCATACTCAAATTTCTTTGAGACTGGTGTGCATCCTCCAATATTGCTTTATTGACCATTAGATGATCTTTACAACCCCTGGCTCTGCGGCGACACCCTCTCTGTTCCTCTGCTATTATGCCGTTCTCATGGCAGTGGTCATAAAGCACTTCAGCCAATACAGCAGTAAGTAATTTATACATACTTGGTAGGCACGCTATTGGTCTCCAGTTTTTCGGATCTTCCGAGTTTTCATTTTTGGGTATAAGTATGACTTTACCTGTAGTAAACCAATCTTCTAACTTCTCTATTCCTAAGATTATATTTGTAAATAATACAGCTAAATATTTGTGAACACTAGTCAAATACTTAATGTAATAATTTTGAATTTTGTCTATTCCCGGTGATTTCCAATTCAATAATTTTTGTATAGCAAATTTTACTTGATGTTCTGTAATCTCTTCTACTTCTACTGTATTAATCCCACCTGAGGCCGCCTCTATCTCTTTAATCCAATTAGCTTCTATATTATAATGTTTAGGAATAGACAGTACAGACGTCCAAAATTCTTCAACTTTTTCTTTACTTGGTAATTTGATTTTTTTTGTTTTTTGCATTTGATATATTTTTTTTTTTGCATTATTATTATTATTATTATTATCTCCAAATGATTTCTCCCAATCTAGTACATTCAAGATACATTGACCTTTTGGAATGATAGTGACTGGGTTGGTTATTCATACTTTACAAACAATATGAATGAAAACTTAATATTAGAATGTCAACTGACTTTTTAATGAATTCTACTATAACAATAACATAAGAGTAATGTATTCTTTGTTTTCAATTAATGTACAGGTAACCCCCGTATAACACGGCACTTCTACAGCATGGATTCACTCCAACACGGTTCGAGAATTGGTACCATCCCCCATATAACACGGTACTTTTATACCACGGATTCACTCTGACACGGTTCGAGAATTGGGTAAAACCCTCGTACAACAGGAAATGTAATAAATTTTTACATACTTAAGTAATAATAGTTCACAAAAATTATTATTTTCGTGAACTATTAGTACTTAAGTATGTAAGCTTTCTCTTCTCGCCTTCTGTCGATACACGCGGTCCTTCTCGAAACTTGTTTCAATGTTGCCAGAT